AATTAAATGTACAAAATAGTAGACATACATATACATTCATATATACACTCATATGTGCTCATATGATAAATTTGCCATAAATTTGCCGAGTTGTCTCGGAAAGTACGTAACCGGCTTTTTAAACAGAATATCTTTTCTAAAAATGGTTCAAAAGATTTGAATTTTTTTGAGACGTTTGACCTTATACATGTTTTCTATGAAATGAGCATACAAAAAGCTTTTTAGAATATGATGTTTTTTCAACTTTTTTATCCAAACCCATGATGAAAATTTAAAAAAAGCATATCAATTAAAGATTACAGTTTTTCACGAATTTCAAGCAAAAGCAAATAATTTTTACATTTTTCAGTGGCTGTAGCTTGATTATGCATTAACCGATTTTGATGAAATTTTCAGCATGCATATAAGTTACCATGTTCTAAAAAATGCATTTTTTAAATTTCCATTATGGGCTCATATAAAAAAGGTAAAAAAAACATCATTTTTTAATTTTTTTATCATTCCAATAAATTGCAAACTAAAAAAACTTTTTGTATAAGCATTTCACAGAAAAAAAGTAAGTCGAACATCTCAAAAATATTCAAGTCTTTGAACCAATTTTAAAAAAGTTATTCCGTTTGAAAAGGTGTTAACGTACTTTCCGAGGTGACTGTATATAATGAAGATTAAGAAGAACAACCATCAGAGTTAGAAATCATTTTTTGAAAAAAAGTATCTAAAGTATATACCTAGTACTAAAAAATTTTAACAATTTTAAAATGAGATTTTGTAATGTCACAGTAGCAGATCCAAGATAAAGTGTTTTTTAAAATAGTCACCATGTGTAGATACATAAGTAAATGGAAAATTCACTTGTCGGACTTCCTTATACATGTTTTGAATACCAATAAAACTTTGTTTTATTCCTTTGTGTCAAAATGATGGCAGTAAAGCAGTTGACATGTAGTATATGTTTTCTGGAGCTTGCAGCATAAGTGTCCTAAATTTTGTTTTACAACAAAAAGTCAATTTTTATTTTAATCTAAATTCAAAGAGCTAAAGAATTATACAGGGGATTTTTGAAATATTAATTCGGACAGAAATGGTAAGCATTTGAAAACAAAAGTTGGTCTTTACTATAGAATTGTTTAATTTTATTTTTGAGCTGCTATTATAGCATTACACCTTAACTGTAGAATAAAATTTTTAATTTATTTTTCTCAAAAATAAAGGTGCATTTGGATAAGGTTATTAAGGTTTTCCATAACTGATCTAGATGCACTTTTTTGTAAAGCGATTTCTAACTCTGACAGTTTTTCTTTTAAGTTCAACCAAATAATAATATGATGTAAAGAAAATAAATTCATATAAAAATGAAAATGTAATATTAATTTAATATTAATATAAAATTTAAATTATATTAATTATTAAATAAAATATAAAAATAAAGCAGTAAAACAGCAAAATGTAACAAAATAGATGTGTTGGTATTGAGAAAATTAAAGAAATTTTGATTTAATTAATTTATGAAGTATGCAAATACATGATTAGTGATAGGAAGACGAAAAAATGAATAAAGTATGTGCTTAGAATCCATGTAAACGTTTGACTCTCTCTCTCTCTCTCTCTCTCTCTNAACCAAATAATAATATGATGTAAAGAAAATAAATTCATATAAAAATGAAAATGTAATATTAATTTAATATTAATATAAAATTTAAATTATATTAATTATTAAATAAAATATAAAAATAAAGCAGTAAAACAGCAAAATGTAACAAAATAGATGTGTTGGTATTGAGAAAATTAAAGAAATTTTGATTTAATTAATTTATGAAGTATGCAAATACATGATTAGTGATAGGAAGACGAAAAAATGAATAAAGTATGTGCTTAGAATCCATGTAAACGTTTGACTCTCTCTCTCTCTCTCTCTCTCTCTCTCTCTCTCTCTCTCTCTCTGTGTGTGTGTGTGTGTGTGTGTGTAATTCTAATATTTATCACTAAGAATCTTTTTTATTCAATCTCTGTACGAACTATATAATTAAACGACGAATAAACAAAAATATGAAATCAGTAACTATTTTTTAATATACAAAATAACCAACATTTGGGCAATATTCTAAATGTCAATTTATTATAATAGCATTCAGAAAATACATACCAAATTATGAATAAAATATTGATCTTCGTCTATCAAGCGTAGTTTGTAAAAAATCACTGAAACCTCTGCTTAAATACATACGTTCAATTATGATTGACAATAAATAATAATATTGTACATTTATACGTGTTTCTTGTTTATAAAATTTCATCAAACACCACTGGGAGTGTCGGTCCGTAAGGTTGACAACTTCACACAACATTTGCTTACTAATACATATACTAAAACGCAAAAATCAAGATATAATCTCAAAACTTATCCATCTCAAATTGTAAATTGATTGTAACATAGAGCAAAGCTCGCACATAACAGAGATAGAACATTTTCGGAGATTGCTCTGAAATGTGTTGCAGAGTGGTATCATCCAATCCCATTTGTGAGATCTCTCCTGCAGCACATTTCAGAGCAGTCTCTGAAAATGCTCCGTTTTAACCGTTCAGCTCAGTAATGTAAGGTTTGATATCCACGTGAACTGGCTCACCATAATAACAAAAATTAATGAAACATAGTTCAAAAAATTGCTCTTTAATTGCCCATAATAATTTTAGTTGCTCACTTATTCTTATCGAGAAATATTCAAAAAACTTTTTTGAGACGCCTAGGAACTTTCATGAGAAGCTGGAGACATTTAATAATACAAAATTTCTGAAATAATGCATAATACTGACTGCATAATACTTGGAATCTGCTCCAAGGAGCGAAGAGGAGACGTCACAAATGAGATTAGAATCTATTGGCATCATCCAATCCTATTTGTGATCAGTAATTCTCCTACTCCTACTTTCCTAGAAGAAAGTTGTAAAGCGGTCAGGATGTTGGGAGGTCTGTCTGCGCGAGAATTAGTCGAAGGTACAAGCGCGTCATTGCAATCTGATAAGTAGAAGTTGCACTGCGTATATGTAGTAGTAAATTAATCCACTGTACCGTTACAGTAGTGCCTCACCATAGTAAGTCAAGGCGGAGGTAACCGGTTTAGAATTATTAAGCAGGTAGAGAAACTGTTTCTTCTCTGATTGGTTGACGCTGCACAGCTAAACAGTGCTGTCCTCATAGTTCTAGACAAAGAGTGGAAGTGGCGAGTGAGCAAGAGAGCACAACATCAGCTCAACCACAAGTGAAACAAGTCACACCGTCGACTAATATAGTTTGTCTCACTTTACCGTGCTTGTCGTCTCGCTCTTTCGCGCTTCGTATGCCTGGTGCCCTATCTGAAACACGTGGCGCGATATTCGACTTGTACTTTTCACCCCGTAGGATTCTCGACCACACAGTCCAAGACATTTTCGAGCGTCTTGAAACAACAATCATTTCAAAATTGTTAATTACAAAATTTTGTTAATTTATCCATCTCAGTACTTGTTAACTGAGAAGATCAACAATCAATATTCTACTGTACGAGAAGGAGTTTCGAAAGTAACGAATAATTTTGCAATTTTATACGATTTGGAAAATGTAGAACCAGACATTTAAAATGCGAAAGACAAATGTGCGACTAGCTGGTGGTTGCCCGTCTTGGATTCCTTGACTATACTTATTATATAATTACCGTTTATTTCTACGGGCTTGAAAATTTCCATCGTTGTTATAATATACGCGAGCTCACATTCTACGTCAATAAGCACTACACGAAATGAACAAATTGCATCGTGATAAATACGAAAATGACGATAGTGCTGAATAACGTTTCTGTTTATACGCAGTTTGAGAACTACAACTCAAAGTTTATAGAGTTTGAAATATGGTTTCGTTTAATGTTTCTGCTAACAGCGTTCGAAATGATGGTGAAGGATGCTAAAAGATATGTAAAGTATTATGCTATAATAATACTCGATTGCTATACATATAATGCAATATTATTATAAAATAATTTGCAATACATGAAATACATGCAAGTTTTGCTGATTTGTAGTAGTGTTGGTTTGAGCATTCTCTCCGAAAGTATCCATTACATGATTGGTCAATAGAATAGAAATGAATTTCCATATTACTTCCATTACTAATTTTATGCAATAGTAAGATTTTGTGGCGTATCGAATATTTATTAAGAATTCTAAAACACTTTCAGTAATTTAATGTCTCACTTTTTTTTCTTTTGCTTTTTACAGATCTGTTATATCCTATGATGCAATTCTGCAAACAACATTCCTTTGTGCAGTTCTGATGTTCTGGTTGTGCATTTACCATGGTCTGAGACAGGTATGAATATCGACAGGTATTTTTAACTAATTAGAAATTAAACATGCACAAAACTGTACTAGTATTGTAGCTAAGACGTCGATCTAGATTCTTCAAATAATAAAAGTTCATAAATTATGCTTTGAAAATTAGATTTTAACTATTTACCATGTGACTGTCAAATTATTTGAACTAAATATCATTAGTTACGAATGTAACTTACGGGTTTTCGAAAATTTCAATAGTTGTAATATACTTAATAAATAATTCATAACTCTAATTCTATAAAACTAAAAGAGTTTGAGAATTTTTTGTAGGTAATTACTACATTAAATATGTAATCTTTCTAAGAGGATATGGATGCAAGTTCCAGCTTCGTTTTTCAAATTTTTAACAGTAAAGATCGTATAAAATTGCAAAATTATTCGTTGCTTTCGAAACTCCTCATACAGTAGAATATTGATTGCTGATCGTCTCAGTTAAGAAGTATTGGGATCGCTGAATTAACAAAATTTTGTAGATTCATAAAGTACAAACTATTAGTTAAAATGTAGCTTATGGGTTTTCGAAAATTTTAATAATTGTAGAAATGATCGAAAAGTGCAAGTCGAATATCGCGCCACGTGTTTCAGATGGAGCACCAGGCATACACATGCGCGAAAAGAGTGAGACCGCAAGCACGGTAAAGTGAAACAAGCTACATTAGTCGACGGTGTGACTTGTTTCACTTGTAGTTGAGCTGATGTTGTGCTCTCTTGCTCACTCATTACTCGCTACTTCCTCTCTTTGTCTAGAACTATGAGGGCAGCACTGTTTAGCTGTGGAAGCGAACCAATCAGATTTCTCTACCTGCTTCATAATTCTAAGCCGGTTGCCCTTGCTTGGCTTACTATCGTGAGGTACTACTAAACCATCATGCGGCAGATTGGCTTTGCATAGTAACTACATATACCGTTAAACGCGGAAACCATGGAATCACACAGTATTGCAGTATGGTAACCAGGTTAATTGTCATTTGCTGTGTTGAGTTCAGTGCATGTAGTTATATGTTCATCGATAGGAGGTGAGTCAAATTATTTAAATTAAATAGGGTAGATGTTCCAGTTTCCTTGCCTGACCCAAATTTCGTGCCCTCGGATAAAAAGAAAAATGTTATATCTAAATTGATGATATATTTTTTGTTATTATATTTACCTATTAACATGTAAGATTCAGGGAGGGGTACTACATTTTTCATATTTTAAAATATAATAGTTTTTCAATTGATGCTACAGCAGGAATTGAAAAGTAAGTATAAATAGTATAAGTATAATAAGTAGCATGTTGTGTCAAAAATTGTAAGAAACAGATGCCGAAAACGCATATTATGTCGTAAGAGGGTTTCATTTAGAACTAACAACGATAAAAAACACTAATTATGCATATTTTTATATTTTTAATATAAGTCTGGAAATAGGGTCAGATTTTAGATTTTAGAACAGATTTTATTTCAGAGCCCTCTTGTATTAGACCACGTGGTTGAACCTAACCTCATTTTTATTTAAAACAATGGAAAAAGCGTACATGGGATCCACGCACGGAAATATGGCAAGGCACATAATAATGTGCCAAGCTCCTGGAAGGGCATGGAATTAAGGCCAGAAACATTTTTTTTAGAAACATTAAATTACTAATTTTTATCACGCAAAAAATATCTTTAAAATCAAAAATGTTTAAAAAATCGAAATATATTTTTAGTGCATTAAATGAAAATTCTAGTATTTAATGAGAGTTTTGGTAAAGCAAATATTGGCTTTAAGGCACGGTAATTGGGGCATCTACCCTAGCTTGTACTGTTGAAAAATTGAAATATGTAACTACTTTGTAAAATCTAGTAATTGTTTTATATAAACATTATTCTTATTTTAATACCTTTATATGTGTATTAATAAATGAGGTAAACTTTAAAATATGTATGATGTTAATTTAATACAATAATGGGACCTACTCTTGCACGTTTTTCTTACTTCCTAAGCTGGTGCACACATCCTTACCATTTTATTATGCAACCAATTCACAGTGGATCCTGTCTTAGCATTGAATTATCAGCTAATCAGAGCAAAGAAAATTTCTATATTACTCTTGCTAAAAATGGATCAAACTGCAGCCTGGAAGTGTATAAGATTAGGATTCATTACTATATGTATGTTTGAACAGATAATTTGGATTTTTTGGAAATTTAAGACTATAAGTTATTAGATGGGGGAGGGATATGAAGTCGTACACCTTTTGGAATAACACTTAGGATGGATTTGGATATTTTTTCTATCAAGATATAATTTGAAACTAGTTCTTTGAAAATTAACCGTGGTTATATGTGTCTACAGTACGGTTATGAAGTTATTAGCCAGTGTTTATTTCATAAATGATGAGTATGAAAGAAATGAAAACAAGCAGAAGTTTTACTGTTTTCGCAATCAATATAATAATAAAACAGTGAAACTTCTTACTCTCCCTTTCTTTCTCAGTACTTATCATTTCCGAAATAAACACTGACTAATAATAACATAATCACACTGTAAGTAATTATATGCATTTCTTCTCAGATAGTATAGGTCGCACAGTGTGACTATTGTGTGCCAAACGTGGTAAAAAAAACATTTTATATCTTAAATGATGTCGCAAAAATGTCTCATAATATGGAAATAGAGGTAGCTGAGGTCATTCTAAGTAACTTTTTCCTTAGCGAAAATGCAATTTGCGGCTTTGTTTACGAATTATTAACAAAAAACACTGATCAATGAGAAACGAGAGCGTGAACTACAACACGGTCGATCGCTCGTACTCCGATCGCGGTGTCTGACAGCAGAAGGGGGACTCCGTGCCGCGTTTGAACCAATAAACAAGTCACGCAGTATGAAATTTCGATTTTTTTTTTACCACGTAAAAGTGATATTTTTAAGAAAAACGCTGTTCACCTTTACTTTAGAACATCTGAAGAATATTTATTAATTATTCAGACTCAAAATTGTTAGAAATGACTGTGTGCGTCAGTGTTTCCACGTTGTCTGTGTTTAGATATTTCCCGGCATATAGCTGAAGTGTAGACAAGGGAACGGGAAACAGTGCCTTGATGCGCTTATGCTAGCTGACTTCCTGGGACTGACCTGCAGTCCCCTACTTTACACCCCCGCCTGGGTCCCTTCGCAGCCAGGGAAGAAACGCCTCCTACCCCCGTGCGTCTATTGCTTACGAGGTTGGTATCGTTGTATTCCAACACCCTTCCTCAACGATAGCCATATTTTCGCAATTAATCCTTAACTAATTAACCCGCAACAATCCGTAATATATTTTAACTTAATTCTACCTAACGGCTTAGTTAACATATCAGCTAACATCTTATCTGTAGGACAATACTTGTAATGCATAATTCCCCGCTCCTTTAATTCCATAACGTAATGATATTTAGTATCTATATGCTTAGTTCTATTACTAAATTTGCTATTCTCTACGAGCTTGTGAGGCAACTTTTCCGTTTCTCCGTTAAAATCCTTCAGTAGTTTCCTTAACCAGACCCCTTCCTGTGATGCCTCAGTGAGTGCAACGTATTCGGCTTCTGTGGACGATAGTGCCACACATGACTGCTTCCGACAGGCCCAGCTGATTGATGCTCCAAAATACAGGAACTGGACTTCCTAGTTGGACTTTCTAGTTGACCGAGTCTTAATTCGTTATTCATTGTTCCTTTCAAATAACGAACAACTCGTTTTGCCTCTGTCCAGTCTGCCATTTTTGTATCCTTATTGTGCTGGCTCAAAATTACAACACTTGCCGAAATATCTGGTTTGCTGTTTACTGCCAAATACAACAAAGCTCCAATTAGCTCTTGATATTTTTTATTGTTCGGCAACGGTGGAGAATTTTCTCTGCCCTTTATGTATCCTGAATCCATAGGTATGCTAGAATCTTTTGCGTCCTTTAGTCCAAATGTGGTTAGTATTTTCTTAATATATTCTGTCTGTTTAATACAATAAAAACTACCCTCATCGCGCCTAATTTCTATACTTAAGTAATTCCTGAGTAAACCTAAATCACTAAGACGCGAAAATATCGCTTTAGACAATTCGCTTCTTTATCTATGTCTAATACATTCTTAGCCGCAATTAAAATATCGTCTACATAGACAATTACATAAATGTGTTAAAATTACATAAATATGTATAAACATGGATCTGTTTTACTTTGTCCAAACCCGTGATTCTTTAATAAATGATTTAACTCATCATTCCATACCTTCGCTGCTTGTTTCAATCCGTAAATACTTTTCTTTAATTTACAGACGTAATCCTCTTTACCTGGTATGGTATAGCCTTCGGGTTGCTCCATATAAATTGTTTCCGCGAGGTTTCCATTTAAAAAGGCTGTCCTGGCGTCAAAGTGCTTGACCGACATATTCTTTTGACCTGCTATGGCCAAGAAGGTCCTAAGAGTCGTCTGCCTTACCACAGGTGCAAAAACCTCGTCGTAGTCAGTTCCGTACTTCTGCGAAAACCCCCGTGCGACGAGTCGAGCTCTGTACTTTTCAATGCTTCCCTCTGCGTTTCGTTTTGTTTTGAAGACCCATTTGTTGGAGACTATGTTCCGATCTTTTGGTCTTAATACAATGTCCCATGTGCTGTTTTCCTTTAAAGATTTAATTTCTTCCTCGTACATTCTTGGGTTCCCTATCTTCCAGCTTCACCTTCAAAGATGCCGCCATATACCTGACCGGTGGTACGCCTTTGTTCAANCCATTTAAAAAGGCTGTCCTGGCGTCAAAGTGCTTGACCGACATATTCTTTTGACCTGCTATGGCCAAGAAGGTCCTAAGAGTCGTCTGCCTTACCACAGGTGCAAAAACCTCGTCGTAGTCAGTTCCGTACTTCTGCGAAAACCCCCGTGCGACGAGTCGGGCCCTGTACTTTTCAATACTTCCCTCTGCGTTTCGTTTTGTTTTGAAGACCCATTTGTTGGAGACTATGTTCCGATCTTTTGGTCTTAATACAATGTCCCATGTGCTGTTTTCCTTTAAAGATTTAATTTCTTCCTCGTACATTCTTGGGTTTCCCATCTTCCAGCTTCACCTTCAAAGATGCCGCCATATACCTGACCGGTGGTACGCCTTTGTTCGATCTTTCGGAGCGTCTGTTTCGCGTCTGAGTTGTATCCTCATCACCTACATTGATATGAAAGTCACTGTCCGTTTCATCCGTAGGACAGAAACTGTCTTCCATTGACGATACTCCTTCCGCAATGTCCTCTTGCACGCTTCCTTCTGTATCCGATGCTTCGGCCCTTGAAAGTATTACTTCATCGTGCATTAAGTTTTCCTTAATCGCACCTTTTTCACGGATCCCATCCAGAAAAATTACATCTCGACTAATCTTGACTTGATTTGTCTCTGTGTTTAATAGTCAATACGCCTTAGATTTTTCCGAATATCCGACGAAGATGAACTTCTTGGCTTTGTCGTCCAATTTCTGTCTTTGTTCTCTGTGTACATGCACATATGCGTCGCATCCAAATATGTGTAAGTTACTTACATCTGGTTTCCTGCAATGCCACAGCTCGTACGGAGTCCTTCCTGTTGCTTTGGTTGGTAATCTATTTTGTAAATAGTTAGCTGTGCACACTGCTTCGCCCCAATATCTCTTTTCCAGATTTGCATCCAGGAGCATACATCTCGCCATTTCCAGCAAAGATCTATTTTTCCGTTCGGCTACTCCGTTCTGTTGTGGCGAATAAGCGGCTGTGAACTGAGACCTAATTCCTTGATTCCTTAAATAATTCTGTAAATCTTCATTGATGTACTCCCTTCCTCGATCCGACCTTATGATTTTAGGTTTCCTATTGAATCCTTTTATTACCCGGGGTCACAGTTTGCATAGGTCCGCAAACACACATCCGTATGCAAAAGATCCAAAATTTCTCGGGTTTTGTTTTTGGATTCTTTGGGGAAATGTATCCGTGCCATTTTTCCTTTCACACAGCACTCACAGGTCTCGCGCGTCTTACAGTCCTTTACCTTGATACCTGTCGCTAGATCTTTTTCAGCCAACTCCTTAATTGCGACCGGATCCCGGAGTCCAAAACGCCAATGCCATGCATGCTGGCAATCCTCGGTATAGTCCGCATTTACGACCTCGTTTACTGCAAGGGCCTTCTCGACCGTCTTCAGTTCGTACAGCTCTGGAGACAGACTTGCCGTTGCCCACGGTTTCCCATCACCCAAAATCTGACACGTGTGTCCCTCGAAGACAAGCCTGTATCCGTCCTTCGCAAGCCTCTTGACCGACAATAAGTTGCAGCCAAGGGTCGGAACGTACAGCACGTCCTGTATATATATTTCGGAAACTTTCCCAAATTTGTCGACGTACCTGAGTATCCCTGCGCCCATGCCTTCCACTCGAGCCATTTGTTCGCCATCTGCGAGGCAAACGTGGCCCTTTCTGCCGGAGTCGAATTCATGGAAAAATTCCTTCGTTGTCACCATGTGGCTTGTCGCACCCGAATCGACAATCCAAGAATTTGTTTTCCCTTCGGTTGTCTTTATCCCGAAACACGATGCCATCGCTGTCCCGTACTCTGCGTAGAAGCAATAATCTGTCGAAGATTTTTCTTCTGAAACTTTGTTGGCTGTCTCTTGTTTGCCTTTCCATGCCTTATACTTCGTACATTCGCTCTTAAAATATCCGGCTTTCTTACAAAAGAAACAACTTTTCTTTGATTGCGCGGGGACTTTGCCCTTATAAGCAGTTTTTATGGTTGCTTCAAAATTTTCTTTCACATCCCTCGCGCCCTTACGTCTCTTGTACTCATCTATCAATTTGCTCTTCACAAATTGAGTGCTGAGCTCGTTGTCGGATCTACTCTCTAAAGCCGTTACGAGAGTTTCGTACGATTCCGGTAAACTTCCTAATAAAATTGCAGCTATAAGATTGTCTGGCAATTCCTGTCCGAGAGCTGCC